TTATTTATAGAAATACTAATCTCTATCATTAGGCAGTCATGTTTTTTTATGGAACACATGGAAAAAGCTATAAAGTGATAACCGCCGCCCATGGACACTTGTAAAGCCGGAGGCTAGCGGGGGCGCTGCCGACCTTTAGGGAATGGTACCTACGCTCTTTTCTTGTAAGGAATTTAAACTGTCCCATTACAAAATATGTCTTTAGAATACACCCACCCCCATTAAGGCTTGTAAGTATTTTTTAAAGAAGAACATTAATATACTTTTCACAAAAAATGTCAGAAATAGTTTAAAATAAGATTTCCCATTCTGATTATGTTCTTCGAGTACTTTTCTAAGAATGACATTTTATGACGCTGACTAATAATTGAACTCTATGACCACATTAAAGGAGGCTGGGTGCGACACTCCATGTTTGTTTCTCACGGTCACACCCGCCCACTGAGCTGGGAGCTTTGCATTTAAGTAAACGGAGCTTACCTGAAGACTTATTCTCATAAAGCATCATGCGGTTATATCATTGAACAAGCTTGTAATAAATCATTTAATTTAGGAAAACGTCATATGGGACTTTTTATCCTTAAACAATACTTAATATAACGCAACTTAGAAGTTTACATATATGTATATTTAAACGAACTTTTGGAACGATTTTAAATATTATTTCTTAAGATATTCGTATTGTTTGATTAATTAGTTTTTAATAATCATACTAACATGTCCCAATACATAAGTAACGAGTTGCGGTTGACTCATGTCTCTTAGTCTCCATCAAAATTCCGAGAATAAGGCTTTTGCTACTCAGTTATATAACTGACAAATAATCACATACAATCGTGTAGTCACGCCGGGATATTTTAACACTAAATATGGCTTAACAGCAATTGTAAAACATACAAAGTGATGAAGGTTCGAATAGTAGTTATTATACACTTGACACTTCATAGCTCTTCGCAACAAACAAATATAAGTTAAAAAGCAGTCAAATCACAACTGTAGTTCGTAATCTGGTATTTTGACCTGTCTTTAAGAGTCAAAGTCAAACTCGGCAAACTGTAACATATAAAAATATAGTTGAAAAAGACACTAGACAAAGCTTTTAGGATAAAAGTTGAAACTAAGTGTAAGAAACAGATAAAAACAAGTCTTCTGTATATACGTCAATTGTAAAATATCATGTAGTACAAGAAATATATCCAGAAAAATAAAGACTGGAATATAATGTTAAATATAAAATAATACTATGTTTCCTATAATTAAAAGCCAGGCTTAGTTTTGGCTTAAACTCAAGTTTGTGTCATAAACGTCTGGGAATATTATATTCATAGTTGGATAAGACTACATTATTGCTTGCTATTTAGAATCATACATAAAAGAAAAACCTCCTAGGCCTTAGAATTATTTTGCGTTACACTGATAATTTTTCTTAGGAGGGAAATAGGTCACCAGTCTTCTCGTTTTTCACTAAATGTTATTTATATACTTTGATTTTCTTATGACATCTAGGAGATGACATGTTGGATGAATTTAAAAATCAGCCATAAAATCGCAACTTTAAACATCTCAGTAACTGTGAACTAAATCTCAAAGACTTAAATAAAGGTAATGTCTTTAGAATTATGAGGTTTTAGGAACAGGGCGCAAACGGGCAGGAGGCTCACCTGAGGTTAAGTAATACATCCGCCCATGGACATTCTCAATGCCAGAGAGCTCGCAAGTGGGTTGCCGGCTTTTTAAGAATTGGTACGCTTTTTTGAAGGATCCTTAGTCCTTAGTCGAATTGGTTCGGGAATACTTCAGCGGGCATCTAGTTCCACATAGTGGTGCGAGGCAAAAACTGCCTCAAAAAATACTCGACGTCAAGTTTTGGAACGACGGACGTCGAGGTGATACAGGTGGAATTTCGTATTCTGCCTCGACGTCCGATGATGAAACCCAGGTGCAGGTATTAATCCGAACAACTCCTCTGTCTGATTTTTTTTAATTTCAGCCTACCAAATCAAATTGTTTTACTTGGAAATGAATACAGAATGGATATTCTTATACATTAATATTTGTACATTTGGAATTCACTAGGATATCTGCGTTAATCACTAAGCCACGGAGACACAACGGACATTATTACACGTATTATAAACGGTTTACAGTAAAAAAAAGTTTAATCCCCGTGATTAGAATAACCATATTATGATTGCGTTTTCATAACAGCAATAATATTTATGAGCAGCAAATTGTGGCTCTTGGAATTAGTTCAAATGTGAAACACACACAAAGGGCGTTTACAGCTCTATATAAATGTTACTGCCGAGAAAAGTCATGAGAAAAGACTTAGACCAAAGTTAAATCTAGTCTAAGAGAAAGAAAAATAATCAATAAGAACGTTACTAAAAATCGAAATGTGATAGAATTTGAAGATATTTTAAATTTGCATTTGGGGTATATCGTAAGTAATATTATTTACAAGATGAAACTTGAAAGGTAACAAGGACAAGGAACGATGTGAATTTTACATACAATTAATATGGTTTATTATAGAAATAGGGCATGATGATTATTGTGGTCTGTTAATATTCATATAAAACATTTTATTTACCACAAACAGGAGAAAAAAGAACATAAAATAAATGAAGATAAAGGATGTGAGAATATAAATATAGATGTTACGTCTGAGTTGTCTAGTTTTATCTATATATATACTAGCTGACCCGGAAAAAGTTTGTTTTGCAATGTACTTATATTATTTCTAGGACACATTTTTCTAGTTATAATAAAAATAACTATCTACATAATTCAAAAATAGGGGGTGATCGGAGAGGAGTGAAAAGGGTTGTATGTATTTTGGTATGCTATGTGTATCATAAAAAAATAAAAGTAAAAACAATTGTCTAAAAAATAAACAAATTAAATTTGGGGTGGACACCCCTTGTCACTTAGGATTGAAAACATGATTGTAGCTGATTCTCAGACTTACTGAACATGCATAAAAAATTTCATAAGAATCGGTCAAACCGTTTTGGAGGAGTATGGGAACGAACATTGTGACACGAGAATTTTATATATAGAGATATATGTATATATAGTATATTTACATCCTTTGCCTTCTGAGACAACCCAGACGTAAACAAATTAAATATTTAAAAACTTAACTACTTAATATAAAATTTCTTAATGTAGAATAAAATTACATATAAATCGGATGAAATTTTCGTCTGGCTAAATTAACCTATAGAATTAATGTCAAATTAATTTTAAAGTACCGACTCGTAAAAGCTACAACTCGTATTTTAGTTATAGATTACTTAGATGCACAAACTTATAAAAATATAATATAAAAGTTAAAAAAAAACGTGAAAAATTATAATTAAGGTACCAATCAGACACAATTCTGTTATCGTACTAAAATTATCGCAGATGAGACGCAAATTCAACGTTGCGCTAAAATATGAATTTTCAAATCACTTTAATCTTGTATGATCTCTTCCTAGCAGAATAACCCTACATTATGCGTGGGTGAGCCAGTCCTACACAGGCGTACTAACAAATTACGTTTACCTTACGAGCTCACCTAGATGCTGATATAACACGAACCCACTGTTGACAAAGCAACGGACTGACGTACCGCCTAATTAGTTATTTTCCAAGCATAATGTTTATCCCGACCCCTAAACCTTAACATATATTATCTTGAGACATATTTTTTTTAAGATTTTATAAACGTGACCTTAAGAGCGCCCTTCCCCGTCCGACGAACGGCAACGCGAGCATGGCCAAAAAGCTTGTTGTTTCATCCAGCGCAATGTCAGAACAAGAGGTGAAGCGAAAAGAGATAGCATAGATAGATAGCGAGCCATTCATAAAAATGGCTAACTAGTAAGTGAGAACGCGATAACATTGAAAGAAAAATAGTGTGCGGATATTTCATAAAACTTGTTCCAAGAAATACGTGTTTTTTCGTAAGCCTTAGAAGATTATGAAAAAAAAGTTTTACATTTAGAAACTCCATTACATTTGCAAGGTTTCTAAGCAAATATTTCTTTCCGGTTACAATTAATGAGTACATTATAAACGCCCAAACTTCATATAAAATTTGTGCAAAAAATCTGTTTTTTCAAAAAATTCTGAATTTGTTTCTTAAAATTTTGATTTCGCGTTTTAATAGAAACCTAGATATAGTGCACAAGATGCCTATTAGTTCAAAAGTTTCAAAGAAATATCTGTTACAACGCCATAATCACGTACGAGCGTTTGTATGAAAAGATAGACGGGTTGGCCGCTCTTAAGTGAATAGAACTATTATTTGTATTAATCATAGAGAAACATCGAAGATGATAAACAAAATAATAATTTACTCTGTACTAAGGAATTATGCCGTGTTTTTTGAATTCGAAATTTAAAAGTGACAGCTTTACTGAAAAGTGTAGTTTGTGTATAACGTGTCAGTATAATTTCGTAAAAATCAGAAACCGGTGGAAACAGATAGTCTGCTCCAAATGCTTTTGCCTAATTTAAGAGAGAGATCATTTCGTAAGAATAGATAATTTAAACTTCAAAATGTATAGTTATGTAATGAATAACTAAATATAGAAAACCCAGTTTAAATAAGGTTTAAAGATCATGGCAGGTCCAAGAAAAAAAAGAAATAATATCTATGAGGTCCAGAGTTACTCATGTATTTAAAACTATTTAAAAATGTTATACGTACACTATGTTGTGTTTTTGTACCTCCCAATCTCAAGGTTACGACACCAGAGCTTATATTAGATATTGACAGAACCATATCGAATTTGCATACAACAACGCTGGAATCGCTATAGATTTCGTTATTAAAAGTTACAGAATACCAGCGCTGCCATTGACAAAAATTACATAATATTTTTATCTGTTCTGTTCCGCAATAATCAGTAGAACGTCATAGCTTGTAGAGAATATTCGAAAACAGTATGTTAAACATCGCTTAGATAACAGTTTCGTTTCGCGTCCGCAAGAGGAAGAGTTCTAAAATGATTTTTAGTGATGAATTTAAAGATGGAGTGTTTTACGGCAACCAAGATTTTAATATACCATACCATATGAATTTTGGTGCATTTATCGTACAAAACATTATAAATTATAAAGATAAAACTGTTCTGGTGAGTTTTTCCTGTATCGTAAAATTTATTTAATAACCATATGTTTTCTTATATTTAAATAAATTTAAAAAATAAAGACATGGTACTAATATACATTTCATTATTTGGTCCCTTTTTGCTAACTTTTTGTAAAATCAATATGGTTGACCTTGTCGCATATATGTACTTAAAATAATTTTTAAAACAAAATATTCTATTTAATTTCTTAAGAACAACAAAAAGTGCGACGTATGTTATCAGCGTATAAATGTTATTTCAAGAAACTAACTAAATACTACAACGCGATTTACGTGTGCTAATATTACTTCGTATATAGTGTTACTTCAATACAGAAGAAATATTATTCAAGATAATTATCCGCTCAATTACACTGACTGAACTATATATTGACTTATGAACTTGACTTTGACCGTATCTTTTACAGATAAATGGAGTAACAGGGGAAGAAATAACATACAGAGAGTTTGCACAAAGAGTAGTGAACACTGCTGACTCTCTAACTCATTTGGGAGTGGATGTTGGAGATGTTGTCGCTATTTTTAGTGAAAACCGGATAGAGTTTATACTTACAGCATGTGCTGTGTTTTGTGTTGGCGCAACTGTCACCTTTTTTAATACTTCCTATGGCGAAAGTAAGTAGGATCTCTTTAAAAAACATTAGCGCTATAAACCTGGGCGTTGGCCTCAGCTATTTATATCTGTTTTGTTCTTTGTTTTCTTTCTTAATAGACATGAAGGTAATCCGTCTCTGGCTGACACTTCTTCTTCCACTTTTGCTTTTGTTGCCTCTCGATAACTGGAAGTTGGCCGTCAGTCTCGTGAAGCATCTCAATACAGGACGGGTATAATTTTTCTTCTTCTATAAACACACAGTTTACCCTGGATTTTACCCTTCATTATTAATTGAACGTGGTGGGAAGTAGTACCGGGAATAGAGATACCAGCTGTTTGACATTCTGCATAAATCTTCTCGACATTCCAACTAGCTTAAAAACTTTCTCGTTAGAGACTATCTGGATCTGGCTGCTGACATACGCCGTCGATTTTTTTGAGTCTAACCTTTGATATATCTTCACGATTTTGTCAATCACCTTTCAAGTGTTAAATGTGGAAAAACCTATCAGTTCACAGCTCGACCTCAGGGTTTTTTTCTCTTCCTACACTGAGGAGATTCGAATCTCCCAAATACGGTACTTAGTTAAATATCCACGATAAATATTTGTAACATTTTTTTGAAGGTGTGTTTAGAGTGATGTTAGATGTGCAAAAAAGGGTTTGTTTGTATGAATTATTTTCCTTATGCTGCACAGCAAATACCTACGTTTGGCAAGACTCCAAAAAGCCCATTGCACTATTGTAAAACTGGAAAAAGCTTGTGACCAAAAATGAACTAGTCAATACTGTGTATGTGAGCAATAATTTGATTTGTGCGTTGGCATTTCTGTATATAGTCTTGGTCTTTCATCATACTATACACACCATTAAAAATGTAGTTTTATTTATTTTAGTTCGTACTATTATATTTTTATTTAATGCAGTCATGCTTGCTTATTAAAGGAAAACATCTTGATAAAACCGACATCCAAAACCTTTCGACCGAAAAATCTAAATGTGTGCCAGGCACAGAAGGATTATTTTATTATCGATTAACAGATATAGAATCTGAGGCCAGGACAACAAAGTTGTACCGCCACTGGTATATGGTATTTATTTTATGTAAAATATTTTCAAGATTAATATTTTTTACGATTAGTAAAAAATATTAATCTTGAAAATATTTGATATTCGATGAGTAGGTTGAGTTAAATTTACAATCACGTTTAAGAAAACGATGTTTAATTTAAAAATTTGTTTAATTTCATATTCTTTCTAACCCAGGGTTTCATATATTAATATAATAGAAGTAAATTCAATAATCCAATTATGATAAAATAAGGAAGACGTAAACTTAATACAAATGTTAGTTGTTGACGTAAATATACGGTAATAAAATTTATCTCTCCTATCTTTATCACTTTCAAGTAATGCATACTTCATCAACTATCAACAACAAAAAATATGATATAATCTAAATTATGAAAATCCCTTTTATAAATAAATAATTAAACTGTAGAATGTAGTCGCATGATTAAATAATCACACTTTAAAGTTGGTGCATATAGTAGGAAATAGGTCGGGCATATAGTAAATAATAAGAGCCACGATTTACAATCAGAGCAGCCTTGCGATTCTGTAACTCACTTTTCGAACTGACACAGCGTTTTTCGCAGCGGCGGTTGTGCTCAAATCAGTCGCTAAGCAGTCATTTTACGATTTGGCATTCTGATAAGGAATCAGATACAGAATCGCAAGGCAGTGTTGCTAATTCTAGCACAAAATTCAACAAAATCCAAATAATGATTTTAAGAATTATATGATTACCAGATCAACTTTAAGTAATTATGGATCTTAGAATATGGTTTGTTAGTTTTGGATAGAAATTAATAAATTTAAAAACTAAAAAGTTATTTAATATAAAATAAAAAAAATGCCTGTTCAATGCAGTAAAAATCAATAATTATTCAGTTTAGAAGTATCAGTCTAAATCTTTGCTCTTGGGCGAGGCACACTTATTAAATTTTAGTATAATGAATTCTGATATAACATAGTTAATAAAAAAACTTAATTTTTTCAGGCGAGCTAAATCACACGATAAACATATCTAAACCGAAATATATTTTTCTCTCGGGGACTGCATGCGACAGTCACTATGAAAATCTGCAGAAGCATAAAATGATAAGAAAATTCATTTTGTACGACGACAGAGGGTCATCGAGGTCACAAAATGTAGTGTACTTCAAGGATTTAGTAAAGTGCCAGGTGGATTTAAATTTATACAAACCTGTACATCTTGGAGGTTGGTTCATAAATATAGAATAACCAATATTTATCTACCTAGGATCATAGACACTGATCGTTACAAGGAAACTTCTATTGTCTAATGAAGCCGATTAAATTATTAATTATATGAAGTCATTGCAAAGGCTTATTTTTTATTTCAGGAAAAATTCTAACTAGTATGATATTGTATTCATCTGGGACAACTGGACCAGCTAAAGGCGCTAAGATTACTAATCTTAATTTAATCACCTCAGCACAACAACCACCGTACGTTATAACGCTTTAGTTTATACAAAGTTTACATAAATTCTTGTTTTATTTTATTCTAAACAGAAAAGAAAAAAATACACATTTAATTTTTATTTTTGAAAAATTTTAATAGCCAAAGTAAGCGAGACCTTATTGCTCTATCTATATCTCCCTGGTGCACCTGTATGGGTATAGGTACCCTTCTTAACGCAATCATCCACGGCAAGAAGACGGTCTTCCTCGCGAGATTTAACGAAAAACAGTTTCTACAAACAATTGAAACATTCAAGGTGATTAATTGTAGTAGTCTTTGCACTACTTGCATTATAAAAGTAAGGGCACCTGATTAAAAGAGTTTTAATGCCTAGTTATCTACAGTTTCAAAACTATTCTCCTTCTATTTCTGATACTAAAACGTTTTGTAGATATAACATACTGTTCTTTATGTTTTCAGATAGGATATATAGTAGTACCACCACCCCTTCTAGTGATGTTGTGTAAATCGAAGCTTGCTAAAACATTTGATCTTAGCTCGATAGAAATTATCAACAGTGGAGGCGCAACTACTAACTTGGAAGTGATAAATCAAATAAAAACGCGGTAAATACATCTATTTTACAATACATATACATTATACAATTTTTTACCCTACTAGCCTATGACAGTGACACAGACATAATTGTAAGACAGACGAAATTGATCCATTCCTCCTCTCTTTCTCATAGTTGCGCAGAGCTATACTTTCCAAAAATTTACAGTAACATGTCATTTATATATCTCGATTTTTAGATCTAATATTTATAGTTGGTAAGAATTCTGTTAGCAATCGATATCAAATCTTTGTAATTACTTTTTTACAGATTTCCAAATATAAAATGTGTTTTACAAGGATATGGTATGACTGAAGCTACAGGTGCACTCACTTCTGACACAGAAGAAAATCCAAGGGAAGGAAGCGTGGGAAAAGTTGTTCCGGGAATTATTCAAAAGGTAACGAATTGTCACAACGTAAATTTTTGAAATAAAACAACTAAAAAAGAGGTGGTTTTTAAGCTAATCAATTAGTTACGTTAGAATATTATGTAAATGTTATAATTATTATTTATATAATGTTGTCACACAGCTTTTTATATGACTAATAAATAATTGAAAAATTGATGAATAATTTAATAAGCGTAATAATAATTTGTAAGTAATAAAAGATTTAAGAATCAATGCACTTACTAAATTAAAAATGTTTAATATGCAATATTTTTAGCTAAATTATATCTACGAGTATAATATATTTTCAATTATAAGAAACCATTACCATAATATAAGTCCACCACCTTACTATTAGTATTTAAAAATCCTAATTATACACATTTAGTTCAATGTACTTATATACTTAGACAACAGTTCATATAGAGTTTTAATAATATAAACGACAGAGATGAAAACAATTCCAGAAAAGCCATTTTCCCAACGTACTTATTTCAGATAGTTGATCCTGATACTGGTAAGGTGTTAGGCTATAGAGAGCCAGGGGAAGTATGTATCAAAGGCCCCGTTGTGTTCGAAGGATACATTGGAATCAACTCTAGTAGCAGCTTCTACCCTGACGGGTTTTATAGAACAGGCGATATCGGATATTTTGACGAAGAAGGTTATTTTTACATTGTTGACAGAATTAAGGAATTGATAAAATATAACGCTTGGCAGGTAAGATAATCTTTATCGCACGATAAGAACTTCATGGTGGTTGATAGTAACTAATGATTATAATGATAAAGTTTATTTTATTATTGTATATATTATATTGTCATGTCACTGTATGACTAGTACAAATTTTTAAATGGTCAAATACAGGATAGTAGCCTCTCTCAGTAGTAGTATGAACATTGACATTGACGTACCTTATTCATTGCCACGGTTCATAATCAGCAATTTTCCAACATACGTCTATAAAAACCATCCTAGGAGGTTAGGTACCTCTCATTCGAGTTCTTCGCGAATATAAAAGAATAAACACTGATTATCCATTGATTAAAATATTCGTTAGTGGACTGATAAATTTAAAAAAAAACATTGTTGCACCTACCTGGTACTTAATCTGCATTATTAAGCAAAAAATGTCTAGTAAAAACTAAAATTGGATGTGTAAATTTTTATTGTATTATTATTATATTTTTTGTAGAATTTATGTTCCCCATAATTGTCATGTATTTTAAAATAGATTGCTTTTTACATATGTTGTAGAAAATGCATTATATATGATGTGGTGTACTTCAGTAAATAAATAAATATATATTAATTTTTATTCATATAGGCATACATGCCGTAAGAGTTCGATAACTGTAAATCAATTAACTTATGTAAACAGTGACTTAGACTTTTGCCTATCATTATTTCGTCACCTTAAAGGTGTCAAAATAGTTAATTGCGAACACACTAAATTGAGTAGGTATGCGTTGAATTTCTCAAGTTTCAATTAGCAACTAACTTGATGAAGTCAACCTTCATAGTTCATTTTTTTCAAAGCCTTAATGTCAAACCTATGGTTTGTCCCGGAGAGTACAAAAATATTGAACAGATTTATTAGAACGACACACACTTCACACACAAATAAAATAATACCTACTTAAATTGATTAATGTGTCCTAAAGTTAAGAACTTCACCCAAAGAACTTCAAAAAGATTCACTCAACTTCTCAGTGAAACCGAGAAAAATGTATTCACCCCAGATTCTGGAGGCGTAACCCTATTGGAGTATATCTTTTTCAGGTATCCCCTTCGGAGCTTGAAGCACTTTTATTAAAACACGGAGATGTAAAAGATGCGGCGGTTATTGGGGCACCAGACTCTTCAGCTGGTGAGCTTCCCTCTGCGTTTATTGTGAAGAAAGAAAATTCACTCATTACAGATACGGAAATACGAGAGTTTGTTGATACAAAGGTAAATTTAAAATTACAATTTGAGTTGTAACTCTTTTAATTTATTTTTCGCTTATGATTTTATTTTTCCTTCTGAAAACTCCAACCTACAACTCTCCTACTGCACACGATACATTCTGCTTTAAGTCAAAGCTTTTAAGCTAAACTTTAGTTACTACAAAGTTTCAATATAAAATTTTAAAATAATTTATTTTATTTTTTCGTCCTTTTATTCTTTCTGTCACAATGATAGATGAAAGCTAAACTTAAGGATTTCCGGACCACTGTTGCAAAAAAGTTTAAGGTTAAAGTTTAAAGTTTAAGGGCGAGTCAGTCATACACGAGGTAAACAAAGGCAATTAGCCTTATGTTCTGGATATTTCAAATAATTTTTCTATATTTTAATATATTTTTTAATTGTGTTGTACGAGTACCATCATTAAAAACTCCCTTTATAGGTAGCATCATGGAAGAAGTTACGTGGTGGCGTTATCTTCGTAGATTCAATCCCCAAGAACCCCAGCGGTAAAATATTAAGGAGACAATTAAAACAACTACTTGTGGATAAAAGAAAAGGAAACGCTCAGAGCAAGCTATGATCAATTATAAAAAAGAAATGGCACTGTAGAACGCAAAGGTGCATCTACGTTATGGTGAACAAAATAAATGTAAATATTATTTCAAATGTAATCTAAATAAACAATTTTTCAATACTACTTTTTTTTAAACAAAACCAGTGGCGGGTACTCTAGGTTTCAGATATATCTGTTTCATGATATTTTTTTTCTTAATAGGCAAATAGGTAGGCCTTCTGCGACTGACACCCGCCGTCGAGAATTAGGTCGCAGGCATATCGATTCCTCAACATGTTTTTCTTCACCGTATTAGCGTTTATTAATTGCGGACATAAAAAGAAAAGTCTATGGGTGGAAAACCGTGATTCGTACACACGACATTATTTGAAATATAATTTAAATAATGATTTATTCGGTTTATTTATTTAATAATTAATTCGAGATAAGGCAAAACATTATCAGGACAAAATTTTTTGCAGTATATTTATATGTATAAACTTGTTTATTTCGGAAATCCTTTAAAAATTTAAGCTATATTATAACTCTCTTTTGTGGATTAATCCATTAATGAATGCACTGTACAGTGATTTATATTATATAAGATTGAATATTAAATAAATAAAAAAAAATATTAGAATAAAACTAGTAATAAAGTATGAAAAGTGCAGACCACTTTCCTTTTATACCTACGCAATTAAGTTCATATAAGCTCGAAGCTTGGAGACAGATGGAAAATTATAATTACAGCATTTAAACCACCGCGTAATGTGTATCAACAACTTGTAATAGCCAGTTAAAGGGAATAATTAGTTTTTATCTAGAATATTTAATACGAAGCCTCTATTATAAGCTATAAATTGCAATCTAGTTTATGTCGTTGACTTTCGAAGGGCTATTTCTAAAATTGACGCATCGTATTTTATTCTGCGTCATAACAAAATGAAAAAGTGTTGCACTTAAATAGCACACATCTGGGAACTAGCTGGAGAGAAATAAATAATAACCTATCATTTTCAAGGTTAGATTAGTTTTTTTGCTAAGCGTACTTCGCATATAAAATCAGTTGGAATTGCTTTACAACCTTACAAGGGACACCGTGATTAAATATTATTTTAATAATATTATGCACAAAAAAAACACATCCACAGTCATTATTCCAACGTACGACCTCATGGTTGACTAATAAACAAAATTTTCTAATAAGATAGGATATGAAAGTTTATCTAAAGAGGATTTATTAACATTTAATTATCACCAATTACCGGGTAGGTTAAAATCACCGCCGGTGCAGATAGATCGATCAAACAGAGCATACTGACCGAAATATTTTATGTTTAATCAATCCATAGTCGAAACCGAGATTGGCCTCGTTCAAAAAGTCTAGTCATTCGTACAAATATTTATGTATCACATGTAACATTCTATATCTGGGTTTTAACGTATACTCGATATAAGGAATTTATAACGCGTATAGTCAACTTATAAAAGTTTTCTTATTTGATTTTTTGTGTTCGATTATCGAATATTGCAAAATAACGCTGCTAAGTTTTACACGAAAAATTATAAACATTACTTAAAATTACTGTAGTTACGACCAAATAGGTATTATTACGTAAAGACACAATGGGCGGTATAATGATGGGATCGTTAGTGGTGGAGTAAATTGCACGTTGTATAGGGCCAATATCCACCCACTATGCCAGTATACAATGACAAGTTGATTTGAAACTGTTTAGCTTTGCTTGTAAACTAATACCAAATGTATTTGTATTTAATCTGCATTACCCTAATTAACTTTAATTCAAGCAGTTTATACAAAGGAAAAAATATTTATGAATTGCCATATATTTTTCATAAAAATTCTATTTTAATTCTATTTTGTTAGTTATAGTAATTTTAATTATCGATGCTATCCCAACCTAGCTGTGTAGTAATGTCCTTGATTCTCATTGGTTCAGAATTAATTAACTATTGAGATCATTCGTTGTAAACAGAACAATGAAATACAAAAGTTCAATGTCAACTAGATTATTCAAGTTGTTTTACGAATAGTAATAATAATAGTATAGCTATTTAGTATAATTATACACTTGCGCTATTTCATTAATATCATCTATATATCGAGTTTTATAGCATTATCCATTATACTACTCAAATAAGCGTAGGTGGTTGTTACAGCGCACGTTGTAAATTACGCATAAAGCATTTATAACTTGAATACACCTTCTAAAGCTACACAAAGCGGCATGACACTTAACACAAAGTAATATTTACCTTTCAATGCGGCATTTACTCTGTCCAAATCGTATAAAGACAGTGGAAGAGGCTCGTACAAGAGCCGCAGTCGCGGGGTCCGACGACCGTAGCTCTCGTAAAATCCATCGCTCAAAAATATTCCTGAAGAATGCCTATACAACTTATACGCGCACTTGTTCGTCCGAAGCCAGTCAACGAACACAATCGCACCATTCAACGTTCGTTCGTCTCCAACAAAAACGTGACTTTTCAGCTCGTGAACATCTCCTTTCATTATCAGTCTGATATACAGTTTGTAGGATATGTTTACTCTCACATGGGGCTTGCTACCCCGTTTAATCTTCCTGACGCTCAGGACGCGCGCTGTGAAAATGTATTTAGATTCAGACACCGCCGACGACAGAATCTCGTAGTCATTAGTTAGCGTCTCATTTAAAACACATTTGGAGATGTTTTTCTGTTTTCTACCGTGAATGAGACTGCGTTTATTCCCGAGACCCTTGACAGTAATGTGACTGTAAATAATACTGTAATTGTACCACAATAATAACATTAACATGAGAACATTCATTTTTGTGTCCCTATTGAGCCTGTAGCCGTCAGATTATATTCTAATAAAAATCCATTTTAATGGTGTATAAGTTATCGAGACGGCTCGTAAGCTCACGGTGCGATCACGAAGTTGCGCAAGCTTGGCGCCACCGAGACGGGTGCGCGAGCGCAGGCCTCCGCGTGTACTGGAAGCCTCGCAATTCTATACAACCTTCAATATCGTAAACAAACGTGAGACTACGTTAGAACGCACTACGAGAAAGCTTATACATACATTGAATACCATTACAAGATTAAAGCATAAAATGAACAGCCGATGTATGTTTGTTTCATTTAATATCGTACATTCCTTTTCTGAAAAATATTGCTATCTACAGAGCAGCTTCATGGGTCAACGGAGGCACAATAGCCGGAGGATAGGAGATAATACAGAGCGCACAATATGGGCCAAGTTAACAGTTATTGCCGAACGAGTCGCCGCCTTACTGCGCCCTGAATATTCATGCAGTTGAGTCGGGCCCGCGCCGTATCGCCCGGGATAACTACTTTTACCGCACTACACGCTATTCATACAGCGCCATCGTAACGGCTTAGACAAAATGCAGAACAAACTTTAACATTTACATGTTTATTTAACTGCATGGTTAAACAAGTAAAATTTTAAAATAAGTAAAAGCTTCCTGGTTTTATAATAACTTACTTATAATACTTACTTCATTTCAAGGTGTTGTCGGTTTAAAATGTATATTATAATATATAGGGTTCTCTATTTCTATACCAAGGCATAAGGCCATTGCAGCTCTTACACAAGGAATTTGGAAAGTGGCACGTGCGTGGGCGGGCAAGTCGAGGCGGTCGCTCTCTTGACGAATCTTCAACGTCGCACTTTATTATTTTACGGCATTCAAAGTATTCTTAATTTATTCTTATAATCGATTCGAATCGATCTTTAATTAACAATAACTAATGTTTAAGGTGCATAAAATAATTAAAATAATTTAAACTACCATGAGCCTTGCAGTTACAACACTGACATCGTGTGAGGTGTAATTCCATAATGATAAATGAACGCGCCCATTATTTTCTCTATCTTGTGATCGAAGTTTTCGATATAAAACAACTTTACAATATCCATATATCAATGTGTGCTTTATGCGATGCCTGTAGACACAAAAAAGCGATTGCAACAATGCGCTGAGTTGCATTGCGTGATATTTAAAATATTTATTTAAACGTAATGAGTATGATTATATCTTCTTCGCATGTGGCCCTTTAGTGTATGAATGTTCTCACGGATCGTGCAGAGCGTCGTCGATATGCATCGCAATACTGGCAATACCTTAACCCACAGAGAACTGAACATAGACAACAAAGAGCGATGGATCGTAACAGTAGACCGGACTACTCAAAGACAGATTTATTGACAATATTGTTCCCATAGTTTATTAAGCTCTGTCCAGGTAGAGTTATCCTCCCATACTGACGATACAATTTATAGTTGCGTTAAGTAACAATGAACAAAACATTGTAAACTATGCCCTGCCGTTAATAAATTACGCGTGAGCTGCTAATTAAAATAGCGATGATTAATCCTTTATACAATTTATATAAATGACGGCTAAAGGAAGTGTTTAAACTAGCTGCTATAAGAACGTGCATAAAACGTCTTCTTTACTATTCATAAAAGAGAATACATTCACAAGGGGTTGCGAGTTGCAGTGTTGTTTATGAGCGCTCTATATTATGAAATGCATAATCCGTACGTCAGAAAGCATTTGTAATCCCCGCACAAAAGCCTTGCATGCGGCCGATACTGGTGAGTAGTCCCGAAGGATGAGGCTCGATACTCATCTCGCCGCATTATTCGAGGATTAAATTGGATCTTTCCGGATTTTTAGGTCAAAATGTGAGCTCAATTTACTGCAAAAGATTTTGACCTCGTGAATGCTTTTTTTTTGTTAGTGGTGTTCATTTTAACTAATTATTTTTTTATTGGGATATTTTAAGAGGTTATTTAATTAGGTACTATTTTTCAGGCACCAAGACACCTTTAGTAGTGTGTTTTTTTTGTAGTAATTATTATATTTTTTTGCCATAGTAAAAAAAATATAAAAATTTTCATTTTTCTCACAATCTAATTTCTCTCAAATCTAATTTTTTTTTGTTTAAAGTTGCTCGAAGGCTGCGACTAAATATAATTAATAATAACAATGTTATTATCATAGTAGCCTTTTTTGATCATTGACATGGGCGTAAATTATGTTGCTTTAAACTCCGATTTTCATGTAGTTTTAACATGTATATAAAACGACATGAAAATCGGTTTAGTACTAAAACAGAGGTTATTGTACCTAGCTATACGTAAATGGCAGATTGTTTTGGTACTTTATATTTCTAATGCTAAAAATCTAAGTGTCACCTCTTTTTTAACTCTATTTTAATATTAGGGGTATAATATACATATAGGTAAGGTATAATATAAATACACACTGTAATAATTTAAAGTAATAATATTTATTATAATTTTACTTTATTTACATTAACTACTCGATTGGATTGGTATTTAATATGTTATTAGTATTAGGGATTTATTTGTTAATGCGATCTAAAGTCAAACAGATGTACTGCGCACAGTTGTCGGCTGAACACAAACGCATCAGACGCATTCACTCTATTAACTTAACGAACAGTTGTCGAGATGTCGATCAAACCACATCTCAATGCCCGTGTACTGAGCATTATGGATACAGCACCCACACATTATTGTAATTTCCACGAACCTCATTCTATTGAGCACATATTATTTCGCCTTTGTGTCTGAAGTTAGATTTTATCGGTACCTTAATAACTTTAATCAACATACATTTATTGTTTTAATAAAGACACCTTTTATCATAATACCTTTTTTATGTACAATATTAAATTCTGAGTTTGTGATGTATTAGCAAAGGAATTTCATAAAATATATTAAGAATCTTTGTTACAGTTTAGACGTGGCATCCTAATAATGGCAATATTTTTGAACTTATTGCGTTAGTGTTTTTGTAGTCTGGATTTATTATAATGTTTAAGGAAAAATAATAATTAAAAAATGTATTGGTAAATTTTTTCCTTGAAAAATCTAAGACTTATATTCCTGTTTAAATGTTCTTAAAAACTGCGGCTAAATAGAATTAATAATAACAATGTTATTAACATAGCAGCCTTTTTGATCACTGACATGGGCGTAAAATGTGTTACTTTAAACCACGTTATCATCGAATTTCATAAGATATATTAAGAATCTGTTACTTTAGTTAAAACGGTGCAATTAAACTCGTTTAATTATATAAATAGGGTGATATTATTATTTCTTTAGAGTTGGATATACGAGTATAATAGGAATATAATCAAAATTTTATGTTAAAAACAAACGAAACACGACAGCGAATTGAATTTTATTACATATTCAAGGACTTACCAATGAGGGTAAATTAGACACAAAACTGTTGCTAACTAGGTTCTTTAAAAAAGTATGTTCTTACCTTTAACAGCTGCATTGATCCTGTCTAAATGATAAAGCGTCAGCGGTATGGGGTCAGTCAATAGCCTCAGACGCGGCGCAGATCCTCTTTCGTTTTCCTTAAACACCCCATCACTTAAAAAGATTGCAGATAGCCGCGGCCTTGGTCCAGCCGCGCAATTCTCTCTTGCGTGAGGCCGCTCCACTAACAATGTAGAGCCGCTCAAACTACCCGATCCATCTTGCTTTAGAAATATCGTAAAATCTCTATCCTCCCCCTTTAAAATACGCCGCAAATATATTGTGTATAGATTAGATCTCTTCTTACGACTGTCGCGTTCCGATCTGTATTTTCTCACACTTAAAACTTTACCTGTAAAAATAAACTTCGAATGGCCTATCGCTTCCATCAACGACCATTCGTCCTCGATAAGGCTTTCATTGAAATTGCACGGCGGCAATATGGCCCTGTGCCTCCGATGTACATTGTGCCTTTTTCTTACTTTACCGCGAATCCTGATCTCGCCTCCTACGATGATCGCGAGGGTGATAAAATAAACAATAACCATTGAAGGCCTCATGTCGGAGAGTCGCCGGTTAGACACTCTTATGCGGTCAATACAAATGTATCTGTCACATTATGCAAGTTATTTATGTCCCCAGATTCACATAAAGTGCCGACGACAGCTTATTAAATGGGCAAAACGTTGACATCTCACTAACAGAAACTGATTGAATTGAATTTATAATTTATTGTTGCGTTTACTTCACGAATTCATTCATGCATTTTATTTAAAAAATAACGAATATAATTAAACAATGCTGATAGCAAAAATCATTCTTAACCACTCATCATATAAGATTGTTAGTAAACAAACAAGTTGGAATGTCCGTATCTATGACATGAACGCGTGCGCGCGCGCTGCTTGCCGTAGCTAACTAAAGCCTGTCACGCCTTCTCTCCCATGTGAAATAAGGGAGCACACCGCATATTTAGTCATATTAACACGTCCATTACATCAATCACTTAAAATTATTACTGATTAGGTTGTTGACTGAGCTGTTTAACTCCTTTCGATGGCAATTTAGCTCCAAGTTGTAACTTCTTTAGCGTATCTAAACACTGTAATTGGGGACTAATTATTAAGATTATTTGAATTTTTTTTAGCAAGGCTAGGAATACTTTAAGTATTTATGTCCCCACATAATGACCGCTACTATTATTTAGTACTACTACACTATTTTTATTTATACTTACCTATAACTTAATATACTCGTATACTTAATATATAATAGAAGTGTATAACGTAAAGCAATGACATTACAATGACAGCCATAGAAAGCTAAGTGTAATAAAGTCTAAGTTCCCAACAATTATTACTTAAACACAAAATATTGGCGAATAAATCTTCCGTCTCGACGTATTCGTCGATAAAAATGTGCATACAAAATAGTGTCGTGAGTATTATGTTTGTGTTCTTGAGAACTTGTAGTTTTTACGATAAAGTAATCTTTATTACTATTTATTAGATGTCAAAACGGAATGCACCAGTTTTGTACAAGAGGAGATAAGTGCGTGGAGCGTCGTATAGATCTTGTGAAAGCTCGATGCGTGAGACGCGTGGGTGAACCAGCCTAGCCGTGGCGCCCGCGCCGCGATCTGCGCTCATTTTAATGTATGGCACAAGACGGGAGAGAGAACGACGTAATATCCAAAGTTATAGCAATTCAAAAATACCTATCTTTACCAAATTTCAACTACCAATAACTATATAGAATATAATTATATGCGTTTTATTTAGATGTCATATATCATATTTTTTCGTTCATCTAATTATTCTATTTATCATTCGTTCATTCATAGAATGATGAACTTTTATAGTTGACAATTGACGAGGCGAATGTACTTTAAACTTTTATTTTGCTTATGCATGAAGCGCTTTTAAATTTTAGTTGGATTAAAACTTAAACCACTCGCAAAATCGTATCGTACATATCTTTTAACGTATAATTACATAGGTTGATACAGAAACAGTTGGTCGGGAATATTCTCAATTACAACGCTAATGGCGGAATCTTGTTATCAACATTTTGAATGTTGATAAGCATATTAGTATTTTGTATGAAACTTGGAATTAGGTAATAATGCCTTTAACATACCTTCGATTAGTTTCCGATGTTCTATTTCGCTTCGAATGCTTCACACTACCTAATGTATATAATTACTATCAATGTAATTGAATTAATAAATTAGGCTACTTCAATTCAAATTTCAAACTTAGCAGAAAGAAACATAAGTCATCGGTAAAAAGGAATCAACGTTCCTTTTTAAAAATAAACCGCTTTGTATAGTCAGCCAGAAACACCATAAATCATATTAAGACAAACATAGTTTTAAGCAAAAGGTTAAATGATATGCACACCCACACTACATTTCGTTGTAAGAATGATTGCGAGTATTTCCCTTGAAACAATTTGCAGCTTTTGTTCGAAGTGTATTCTGCGCATAATTAATGCCAACCATTTAAATAATGAATACTTACATGAGCTTTCTACATACGGAAAAATGCTAATACTAGAACTTAGTAGCGGTAAATACTCATTTAATGGTCTCGATTTATGGCGCTGATTATAGGTCCCAATAATAGATTAATTAATATGGACACGAAGTTATGAGAGTACTATGCAGTAGGAGAGGTATACTGACCGATGATAAATTGTAATAATACTTTAAAACCAACTTTGAGGCAATTAACTCTGGCAAGGCTTCACTTAATCCAATTTCCATCCGCATGTATGTAATAATAACAAACAGCTATTTAATGATCTTTGCACCACTAACGAAGTGATCATCAACACAAGTTCTGGTATATACAATACCAATCGGCATTTTCTGAATCATATGAACATATACTTCACTATTTCCAATTTATTGTTACAATGAAAGCCTAACAAATCTTTTAAAACAATTATATCTGATTTCCCATCAATTATTACCTAAACAATATGCATATTTCCAAAAATTCTGCCGTTTCGACGTATTCGTTAATAATAATGTTGTGTAAATTAAATTAACTTAATAAAGTTAACAAAACAATGTCATACATTCTTGCAATTATTCACGACTGTTTCACCCCAACCTAATCCCGATTTAGTGAACGATCACTGCGATATTAAATCACTCTGTCAAACTACAACAAGCCGCTCATTAAGCCCGCCCGCTTAAACGCCGATACAGCCCCATCGTGGCCCACTAACTCAATTAATACATCACGGCCAACAAAGTAAAAGCGAACACTTTTAAACTTTTTAGTGCTACTTATTTCGCAATCAAGTTTATACTTCTCACATTAACTTTTCTTGCGAGATACAAAAATATAGGTCAAGAAAAGCAAATTCATGACAGTTGTTCGACAATTGACACCCTTAAATATACAGGAAAAGTGTAAATAACATTTTTTTCGCTGTAAATATAGAAACAACTTATGTAAAAGCAATTATAGAGAAGGTAATTGCTAGAGTTTTATTTCAAATAAATCTAGAGTACCTTTGTAAGCCGCTTTCGATTCGTGCGCCGAGAACTCCACTTTTATACTTGTGCGAAGGTGAAACAGGTAAAATGCTTTTACGATACACACTTCACATTTTATGTTAACAGAATTCAGATCAGTATACTTTTATACTTATGTATCCGGTCTAACGCCTTCGTTGTTTTAGAATTAATGGTTTAATAACATAAAACTTTTAAGTTTCGCAAATAATCAATCTATATATAAATGTTAATCTAGAGTTAATGCTTTTAAATAGCGAACGTAAGTTTCTTAATTTAATATGAAATAAATTTGCGAAAAAGAAGCATACAAGATCTGTTAGAGCTGCAAATGGCTCATCATTAGTGTTGAAAATCACGGCTCAGCAGAGCAGAAGCTCTTCAGTGCACAAAGGTGGACCGGACGAGTTCGCCTGATTCGTCTGAAATACTCGCAGCTTCACAAAGGGCCCTACATTCGATGGACTCTCGTTTTTGTCGCACTCGCTTTTTGTACTGTTTTAAAATTCCAATTCAGATTCTTTCAAACACGTTGTTTGTTTAAAGTAGAATGGAACAAAATGTTATTTATTTATAATGTTAAGCTTATCAAAATGGTAAAGCTAGCAGAATGTTTTATATAATTGTTGGGTTAAAATTAGAACAATTCAAAATATATATATTATATAACCACAGAAATAGTAAAAATGACCATCTATGAATACGTAAGTGGCGTAAAGGTTGCATGAAAAAACGGTACTTTCATCGCGTAGATTTATTTTACCAACAAAGGAAATCAAATGTGACGTACATTCCATCTGACTTACTAATATCATGAATATAAATTGAAACATCATGGATATTTATGCGGGTTGCCCGCGGATATATCTCAGGCCTGAGCGTTGAGGAGCAGAGAGAGCCAGGTGTTCAGACAATGTTCCCGCCGGCAATACCTTCCTGATATCAATATTTACGCCCATTACCGCACCATCATCTCACGAAATCTACCGCTTTGAATCTGTCATTGTTGTTCACTTAATTATAGTACGCTATCTATTTGTTCATCACATTATAAACTTCCGATAAGGTTCAAAATAGGCTCTTTATTTCATTAAATGCAGTGTTGATAGCCGTATCGAATGCAATTAAAATAATCTCGTGCAAATGACAAAGTGCCAGCTTAATACGAGTTAAGTGATTTAATCGTTACATAATATTCACGAGTAAAATTAATTAATTTGTTAGTTGTTTATTCAATTAAAAGCGTCAAATATTTCATAAGACTAAATTGTAGGTTCGTTAAATCAATTGTAATTTTTAAAGGATAAATGTTTTTTAATTCATTTTATAAATCAATATAATTTTAGTGAAAAAGTAATTTTTAAATTACATTTTTGATAACTAGAGAAGAGAGTTCGTAATAAAATTTAACCACAAACATAACATACAGTAATAAAACACTTCATTCCAACCGTTTAAAAGATTAAATAAGAGCAATTACATGCATCATTTGGTAAGCAACATCACAAATCTCGTTCCCAGCGCGGCGCCGATCTGATAGCTTGAGAACACTGATAACACCCCGGGCGGGAATGCATGGAGATAATACCCCTAATGTGGTAATCAATCACCCCAAACAAATAAACCATTGTTTTAAAATGTGCATAGTTTATTAAATTTGCGTAACAGTATTCTCGTTCGTATAATAAAAAAAAGGAAACGTAACGTGACATGTTTCCAGTAATAGATTTTCGCAATAGATGTTCAGCTTTCGCATTTTGCTTTTCATTTCATTTTCTTCGTTTTTTGGCGTTTAAAGTCCATGACCGACTGAGCTGTGTCTAAAGAAGACTCTTATGGAAAAGCCTGTTAATCTAAAATAATATTGTAATAGAAAAGTTGTGTATGAGTGTTAGTTTTTTACATTTACGTGTATATTAAAGTAAACAATTTAGTTACCCTTAACTATTTCGTACTATGATGAAATTAAAGGATCACTTATACCGTCGTCCGTCTTCTAGACCAGAAACAAAGTAACTTAGGACTAACGCT